TAATATTGCTCCGTTACGTCCTAAAATAACAATATATTACACATGAATATGGTATTGTTACACAAATATAAGGTGTGATACATTACTCCAACATTCGTACTCTACTTTTATGACATATCTTTTGTTATTTGGATCAAAACTCGGCTGAATAAGTGTTGAATATGGAGAGATTGGTTCTCTAGTTTATCTAGGTCATAGTAAACTAATATGCTTCATTTGGCAATCTGATATTTTTTATTTATACATATGAGTTCCAATCTGAACAAACCTGTGAAGTGTAAAGCACCCTCACGAAACTCAATTAATTAAAACTGCATAAATGTTTACGTAACCACATAAAGAGAGAGAGAAAAGTATTATCTGCGGTTCCTATCAAAACATGCTTGTAAGCGCGTGGTTTCTTTAACTTACATATCAGTTTTAGCTTTAAAATGTTCCAACACTTCCAGTAACTTATAAAATATTTAAACTACATACTCTTTTATCTGAATGTTCGAAAAATCTTAATTCCCTCGCGACAAGGCCTTGGAATGACACTACGTTGTGGTCGTATGAAGAAGAAAAGATTCGCTCCTGTCAGTCTAGGTGTTCAAGAAACTTCAAATGGTATGACAAACACTCTTTAACTTTGTTTTAGAATTCCTTGCAAAACAGCACGAGAGATATCTGAGGATAGTCGTCTCTAACGTCGAGCGACGATATCTAGTCAACAGCACCAACCATCAACCTTTGGGCAGACCTTACCTGATCAAATTTTGGGGTTTAACCGTAAGTGTAATTACCTTTTCGCAGCAATGGGTCGCGAACCAGGAATCATCTGACACACACTTCGGGCAAACTAATAAACAGGTCACGCTCAGTAACTTTGCAGCCTGTCAATATATGATGTTTAGTCCACCATTTCATATGGGTCACCTCCCCCCCCCCTCCCAGTAGCACAGCGGTATGTCTGCAGATTTACAATGCTAGAAACTGGGTTTCGATACCCATGGTGGGCAGAACACAGCCTATTGAGTAGCTTTGTGCTTAACTTTAAACAAACAAACAATCATATGGGTCACATACAAGTACGTCTAATAAGCATAGCTCATAGTTTGAGAATAAACAATTGGATATGGCGTGTTTTATAAGGCGAGGCATGGTTTCTTTTTCGTTAAAGTTAGTTTCATCAGTATCATTAATTATATTACTTAAAATTATGTTCATTTAAGCCTACGAAGATTCTATTTTCATTGTTAGCCTAATATATGGAATCGTGGCAAACTTCAATATCCTGTGCTAGACGAACCTCGTGATATATTATGGGATTTTTTTCTTTTCGTTTTTTGATCATGTCATAAGATTCATGACAGAAAATGACTCAGCTGATCAGCTCTCAGTATTGCACTCGAGGATAGCGTGGTTAATCTATCCTTTTATTGATTTATCTGATTCCCATAGATCTGTCTCTTACGTCAATAAATTATATTCCAAAGGCAATTCAACTTTTTTTTGTGTGTGGTAGCTGATAATTTCACACTTAGAACATAAATCAAGTTGAATAAGTAGGTCTGTGGTAGTGAAGATAGCGTTTTGAAGCTCTTTTAGTGATTCTTCTCTTCGCGCTAATTGATAGTGAAAATGTAAGGACTGGCATGAGACATAATGATATCTAAAGCACTTATAATAATAACCATTCATAATGACTCGAGTATATAATGTAGATTCTAGTTACTAGTTAATAATGCATACAGTTTCTGGTTAAAATACATCATCAAGGAGCTAGTGTTGTATATTTATTATATTATCTTACTGAGAATTTTAAAGTTGTTAGCTTTCCGACCTGCGGATTGGAAGAGCCAAGGTTCGAAGTGTGGTGTACCACTGAACACGATCCGCTCGTTCTTTCTGCTGCGTGGGCACAATAGCAGTGACGTTCATATCCGCTATTCGGTTAACAGTAGCCACATAGGTGTTGGGTGTAGCTGACTGACTGTTTACCCTCTGGTCAGTAGATCTAAATTAAAGCTAGCTATGTCTGGACCTTAGGGGGTTTCTGATGTAGTCGTTCAAATCCACGTGTCTAATAATATACCGCTCAGACTGAAAATACCAATCCAATATCGAAGACTGAAAATTTCAATCCAATAATAAAGACTGAAAATACCAATCCAATACCGAAGACTGAAAATACTAATCCAATACCGAAGACTGAAAATACTAATCCAATACAGAAGATTGAAAATACTAATCCAATACAGAAGATTGAAAATACTAATCCAATACAGAAGATTGAAAATACTAATCCAATAGAGAAGACGGAAAATACTAATCAAATAATAAAGACTGAAAATACTAATCCAATAACGAAGATTGAAAATACTAATCCAATAATAAAGGTTGAAAATACTAATCCAATACAGAAGACTGAAAATACTAATCAAATGCAGAAGACTGAAAATACTAATCAAACAACAAAGACTGAAAATACTAATCCAATACAGAAGACTGACAATACTAATCAAATGCAGAAGACTGAAAATACTAATCAAATAACAAAGACTGAAAATACTAATCCAATAATAAAGACTGAAAATACTAATCCAATACAGAAGACTGAAAATACTAATCAAATGCAGAAGACTGAAAATACCAATCCATTATCAAAGACTGAAAATACCAAAGCCTGGAAATATCAATCCAATACCAAAGATCATTTTAGGAATTTTCGCAAGTTCTATGGCTAGTAAGTTATTAAGAAAACATTTGAGGTAATCAATAATTTAAGTAATTTCATTAGAAACTAACAGATATTGTGGTTGAATATTTATATGTTATTAACAAGGCCCTGATGCGCGTCTAGATGCACGTCAAAATAGCTTCATAAGGAGTTATTTTCATGATTAGTAACGTATAACTATATTTATCGTACTAATAACATTATGGATCTCAGGAAAATTGTGTTGTAATTGACATATACTACAATTTTGTACGTAAGCAAACAGTTTTGATGAATTTAGAAAAATACAGTAGTTTGTAATCTATGCAATTAATGTTTTAGTGCATTTGATTAATGGAGGCTTTGCTTTAATGTTGGATTCAATGTCTCTCCTCACACCTTGATGAACATGTAAAAATTAGATAACTCTACCGAAGTATTAGATAGTAATACTGTTTAAAGTTTCTTCTTATGGAAAACGTTGAATCTCGTGATATTAGTGTGTTGCAACGGTTACAATTTTCCAGGGCCAACAGCAGATAAGATAAGGATTCATTTTAACACAACCCTATCACCCCCCCCTCCCACCTTATCCATTGTATCTGTGAAAATATGCCAAAGTATTTTGATAAACCAAGAGAAACATACATTGTTTCGCTAATTTCGGCAGTATTTCAATATTGGCCCCCCAGTGGCACAGCGGAATGTCTGCGTACTTAAAGTGCTAAAATCCGGGTTTCGATACGCATGGTGAGCAGAGTACAGATAGCCCAATGGGTAGCTTTTTGCTTAATTACAAACAAATAAACTTTCAATATTGATGTAGGTGATATTTCATATTTAACTATTACTGCTAATTAAAAATTTTAGCTTCTCAAAGATTCAGTTTTGTTTCATGCAAAAGAATTAAAAGTTTGAATTAAGCCTCGAAACAATAGACAAACACAGGAGTTTACAAAATTACGTGGTATTCTATTAAATGTTTTATATTAATAATATAACAGTTTGTAAATGTTTAGCGAACTTTGATCAACCAATCATAAGATATACGAATCCAGTATGTTTTAAAAATAATTATAAGCTATGAAAAACCGTAAACATATTAATAAATTTAAAACATAGCTAGTATAAGGTCAGGTTCTAAGAATAGTTCTAACAGTAGTTATAAGACATGCCGTGACAACTACATTTGTATAGAATTCTTTGCTTGCTGAAATTTTTATCTGCCAATAAGAAATATGATTTTAGCAAAAGAAGTTAATACACGTTATATTCGCGAAAAGACTTCACGTTAACGGTACACGTTGCATAAGCTGTTCCGAAGAAATTTTGAATGACTGTTACACCTGTCACCTTCTAAGTGTCACCATTAACAGGCAGTTGAAGGGACTCTTAAAAACAATAAACGTCGAGGGCCCGGCATGGCCAGGTGGATAAGGCGCTCGACTCGCAATCTGAGGGTCGCGTGTTCGAATCCCCGTCCCACCAAACATGCTCGCCCTTTCAGCCGTGGAGGCA